ATTTATTTTCTGAGGATATTCATTATTAACATTTAACACATCATAGTTTAGTATGTTTACTATTTTGGGGGAGGGAAAAACGTCATTCAGGTCTTTTTAACAAATAAAAATCAAGGGCCATCCGGATGTATATCTTGATGTGCAAATGAGGTGATGGCGCATGCGCAGAGCGGACCGTGCTTTCGTGACGGATCGAGTAGAGACAAAGACCTCTAAGGTGGTGCTCACCTTCAAAAGACAAATGGCCTTGATCAGCATTCATCCAAATGGACCTTTTATTCTTAATGCTGAAGCATTTTTGTTTTAAGTCACCATAGTTTCATTCTTAAGATCGGTATTGTTTCCTTTTGTTCCAGTGGGGCTCCTTTCACTTTTCTCACAATCATTCATTGTTTCTTTTCATTGCTCCCCTGACAGACTGTGTAGCAGTATGTTTAGATCTAGATGTTTGAGCAGAACCTGTAAATGTACCCCACAGAGCAGCAGCTTTTCCTGGCAGAGAATGCCAGCAGCTCTGTACTTTAAGGCTCAGTGTAAAAACCTGATAGCCCAGCCCATTTTCCTCCATCAAACTTTTCTCCCAGACTCCTGAAATCAGTCCAATGTTTGCTCTCCTTGCTGATCCTCATATATGGATCACATGAGGGAAAACTGCTTATGTTTGACTGCAAAGAAGCATGCAGTCTTTATGTATGTGTGAGCATATAAAGGTCTTAAATGTGTTGGCTAGCAGAAAGCACGTGCATGAGATCCTTCAGTTCTTTTCAGTAAAATGTTGCACCTATGGAGGAGTTAAGACTGACACATTTTAGATTTTAAAACAAATAAAAAAAAAGATAATTTCCAGTTCTGATTTGGATGAATTTGAGATGGTTTTGAGGTCACTCTTTAGTTTGACCTGCATATCACTGCAGATCTTCTCTGGCCAAAAGGCTCTGGTGCATTTCTCATCTTCAGCACTTAGAAAGTCCAGACTGTTGTGATTTGGTTAGTATTTGTAGAGAGTGCAGGGTTGCTTCTTTAGGTTTTGTTTTTGTGAAAAACAAGCCAAACAGTAAGCATGGTGCTAATGTTGTATCGTGACATGGTGAAAGAAATAGAAAATGGGTTATGTGACGTTTTGCTTCACAAATTTAAAAGAACCATACCAAATTTAATGCTATAGAAAATGGGAGAGGGAAGATTCATTGTGAGTAACGTCCTATGTGCTTTAAACTGAAATTGCATAATGATCAAAATTGTTCTTCATATGATCTTTTTTACCACCCATACATAAATTTGTTTCATTGAACAAAGTCCTTTAAAAACGGCACAAACATATTTTAAATTGTCTGTCTTTTTAATAAATAGATTATTAAATAGTAAATTAATCTAACTTTGATATTATCCACCATTTTCTCAAAAGTCTGAGTTTTCTTTTTTATGCGTAGATTGTTTCCATGGCATTAAGAGCAAAATAATTTTTAACAACATTCTGATTTAACAAAACAGGAACTTGTTATATTATTGAATAGAAAGATCAATAAAATATGTGAAACACTTCTGATTTCGAATATGCAGAGATGTAAAACTATCATTAAATGACAGGGTATGTCGCTCTAACATGATGTCAGACTAGTAGTGCCTTTAAACAGGAGGTTCTGGTTGTTACCATAGAAATGTTCAAACGTGGCTCAATGAAGCTCATTAGCTTACAAAAGCATTACTACCATCCTATTTCACCTTTTTTTATTTTTTTATTTATTTTTTATTGTCATTACTCTGTCACAAGTACAGTGAACAAAGTTAACTCTCTGCATTTAACCCATCCCCTTGGGGAGCAGTGGGCTGCCATTGTCTGGTGCCCGTGGAGCAGTGTGGCCTTTATGGTCTTGCTCAGGGACCAAGAGTGGCAGTCCATGAAATGTGTGGGACTTGAACTCAGGACCTGCAAGCCCATGCTCTAACCCGAAGGTCTTCAACAGGGGTCCACCTAGGGGGTCCACAGAGGTACTGGATTGGGATCGCAAAGTTTTGGTTGATTAGACTTTTTTTTATATTCCCCCCTGCAATTTTTTCCACTAATTGAAATGTCTTTAAATCCACGTTAACATGAATTCAACAGACTGTAGTAAACAGATAAATGGAGGCAGAAGATGTCTTTCAGTCATCAATGCACACATTCAGTGACAAACAGGAGCTCTTTCAAGCTGGGCACCGTTTCATTCACAACACCTGTCCCATCAACCAGGAATCAGAAATACTTTATAATCCCAGGAATATTCATTACACGACTCCATCTGTAATAGCAAGACTATAGAACCAGTTTGATATAACACAATTGCATACAATATATATAATTAGGGGGTCCCTGCTCCATCTCACCATCAGTTTGGGGGTCCTTGACCTGGAAAACGTTGAAAACCCCTGATCTTACCAGTAGGTCACCACCCACATGCTAGCATGTCTTTCTATTAGGGCTGGGTAAAATAAAATCGATTTAATCAATTTTGAATCAATTGCTTTACATTTTTGCAAAATTGATGTCTAGGGAATGAGATCGATTCATTTTAAAGTGACGTTTGTGACGTTCACATTCAAATGAGCAGGAAAGATGCACTTAAGATTAATTCAAGCCAGACAGCTGCAAATATAGCCAATAGGTTGACTGAAGACATTAACAAATGGGGGCTGACCAGCAAACACCCTGTAGTTGTTACAGACAACGCTGCAAATATGGTTTGTGCATTGAAGTTAATGCAGCTCATGAATGTCTGCTGTGTGACGTCTGCTTGCTCGAGTGAGGCTTCACTTTTTTACTTTTCACAAACAAGTTTTCACTTATGAGACAGTTTTGTTCACATCTCATGTTTAAACTGTCTGTTTGCACTTTGTGTTTAATCTAACAGGAAAAAACAAAATACATGAGTATTTTGAAACACAGTTGAACCACTTTCATTATTGTAAAAACGGATTGAATTGAAATTAATCGTTTTAGAACTGTATGAATCAAAATCTCATCGATTCAGGACTTTGGCGAAAATACCCAGCCCTACTTTCTATCATCAAGTTCTCACCTACCAAGCAAAGCACATCACCAAGCTCCCTTTGTTTTTGTTTTTTTTGTATACTACAAAATTTGTTTTTATTTTTGTTTATTTCCGGTGCTGCTTGTTTGTCACCATTAAAGCTTGTAAATAATCCTACAGCAGACTCTAGATCAATTCGTATTTCTGGTCTAGCATGCTTCCCTCACTCACGCATTACTTCTCTTGCAAATATCAGTGAGGCTCAGCTTAAGAATGAACAGCAACGCCATCCAGTGGACCGTGGTATCATTACAAAACTCAAAGAAACATCCTCTGAGACATTGTTTATTTTTTAAGTCGATTTTTTTTTAAGTTTAGTTATAGTTTCTTTCATTTAAATTATTATTTAATCCAAACAGATTAATGTGTGAAAAAATATTTGACTGTTTTCCTGGTAACAACACCAACATATTAATAATAAAATCACACTGTTACAAAAACCGAAACAAACAAAAAAGACCTGCTGCTCTGGCCTTCCAGCTTCCTTCTGCTCTGCTTTGTCCTGAATTGTGCCTGATCGGAACCTGGCAATGCATCTACACAGCATCATGCTGCTGCTTCCATGGTTTGCCCTAGAGGTGTTGTGAACAGGGTGATATATTTGTGTTTTCCTCCACATAAAATTATTCACGACTCTGCCTTAAACTTTATTTATTAGTCAGTTTACCCTTTTCTATACATTTGTCGAATTGGTGGTTTCTCTTAAAAAGACCACATGATGTTTAAGGCTCTATCCCACAACCCAGCATAGATAAGTTAGCATAGATCAGGGGTAAAAAGTAAAAAATCAGCAGAGTCCGAATAAAGAAAATCATAAACCAGTAAAGCTAAGGAGACATTTTTAATTATAATCTGTTACTTTAAACAGAATTTAACATTAAAATAAAATGTGTTTTTTAATGCATCCATGTTATACATTGAGTGTTTAAATAAAAAAAAACATCTATAAAAAAAAGATAATTTTTCCATTTTAAAATGGAAGGTGTTTTTTAAAGTAGAGTTCAGTTTGGTATTTAGACAATTTCCTGATTCACATATTTTATAAAACGCCTGAACTGACAGATTTTTATTTTATTTTTCCCTTTTTTATTGCTTAATGAGAGCAGTGGGCTTTAGGCTTTAAACCTGGGTTTGAATGGTGACAAAGCCATTCTAAAGCTTAATCAAGGTGCTCATTTTGAGCCTGGGTCCATATTTATTTTTGATTAAGTTCATGATGGAGAACCCTGTTTCACAGCAGTATAATGAGCCAAACATACTCAACATTTTCAGGATCATCTTTGAGCACGCCATTTCACTTTTCTCTCACCAGTTCACTGCTGTTCTCCCAGCAGTCCAAACTTTCTCTGCTCTCTTTTTCTCATCATTTTCTCCTTCTTTCCCATCGCTCGGCTTGCCACCGGTTTGCCTGCTGTGTCTATAAGTAGCAGCAGCAGCAACCCAGACTGACAGCAGCTCATTGGATAGTTTGTATCACGTGCAGCCTGGGCCTCAATGCTTTGTAGGGCTTTACCATGTTAACAGGAGAAGCGGCGCAAGTGAAGTTAGACACTGTCGTAGGACAACACGTGGTAATTTATAAATGTTTGAAACCAGGTTGGGTCCAAACTAGCCAGTAGGTGGGTCCGGATCTGGACCTCGGTCCGCTAATCTGTGACCTCGGTCCACTAATCCGTGACCACTGGCAAAGACTGTAGATAGAGGAGAAGATCATGTTCTTGTTGCAGTTGAGCTTCTTGATTTCCTGGTAGGGGATCAAATGGTTCTGTGTGAAACTTCCAAAGCCTTGACTATTGTTTTATAAGCCAACTGTCCTTTAAATATCTCTAAAACTGTCTCCTTGACCCTTTATAGTTTAAAGGTATGAATACTTCAGCTGTGCGAGTGTGAAATTCAGGCCACTTTTTTAATGTCCTGTTTTGTCTCTTCAAGGTCCGAACAAGGTTTGAACTGAAGTCCCCAGTTAAGACCATTGAAGACTTCATCAAACGCTTCACCCCCAGCCGCCTGACCTCGGGCTCCAACAGCAGCAGCTCATCAAGTCTGAACCGCTCCTCCAACAAGGGATGCTCCAGCTTGCTTCCATCTCCTTCAGCTGAGAGCACGCTAACCAAACTAAACGAGGAACAGCTCTCCGGCACCTTGGAGCACACCTTCACCATCGATCCACCCTCCTACGACGGAAAAACCTCCGGGAACCCTGAGGAAGGAGAGCTGCGCTACGAGGCGGAGTCGCCTGATGAGGCTGCGTTGGTTTACGCTGCCAGGGCTTACAAGTGCTCCCTGGTTGGGCGCCTCCCTGACCAGGTTACGGTGGAGCTGCCTCACTTGGGGAAGCTGAATTTCGAGCTGCTGCACACACTGTGCTTCGACTCCACCAGGAAACGTATGTCGGTGGTGGTGAGACACCCGCTCACTGATCAGATCACGGTTTATACCAAAGGAGCAGACTCCGTCATCATGGACCTCATCAAACCCTCTGAAACGGGTAGGGAAATCATCACTTTCTGCTGCTTTTATTGTCATTTTTATACTACTTAATCTGATTTGGATGATAATCTTCTTCTCACTGTGTTCTTCAACCTCAGCCAGGCTCTTGGTGCTTTAGGAATAAGGTTTTGCCTTAAAGCTGTGGTTGTATGTTAAGAGTTGTTTTCTGCATGAAGGTGAAAACTTAGTTTGCTGCCTCTGAATACCTATCTCCAAGGATTCAGCCTCTTCCGTCAACTCTGATTGGTTAGCTTTATCCATATCTCCTGTATAATAGGACCTCCCTCAGCATGATACCGCTGCCGCCATGTTGTACTGTTGGTGTTCAGGGATGATGTAGCACATATGTAAATCTCGCTACTCTATAGAGTCCAGACATGTGGCTATTACTTGTTCTGTCCACTCCAAAAAAGTTAAAATAAAACCCTGGACTTGGTTTCCAAGTATGAAGATGTTTCTCTTCCCATTTAGGAAGCTTTTTCAAATCCAAAAATTTGCGCCCAGTTTAAAGCTTTATATCTTTGCCCAAAAAATGTTTTGGCTTAGAAAACATGCAAATTGAACCAGAAGAATGGGTCAGCCCCTTAAGAAAGGGGAGTCGTTTTGGGTTCTTTGTCAGCCTACAATGCCCGATACTGGTCTATGCCTCTGAAAGGGGGGCATTAAGGGGAATTGATAGTCTGGCTGCAGACGAGCTGTTTTTTTTCTCTCTCCTGCATGGTGAGGAGCATTGAGATGATAGCGGTAAGAAATCGACTCTATCGCTGCGTTTTAGGGTTTTGAGATCTGAAACCTGAGTCCACCCCCTCTGTTTAAGGTTGGGTTTTCTTTCTTAGCATTGATGGCTTCTTCACACCCTGTCCAGGTTATGTCCGCTGATTCCACACGAGTTTCTCTTGGTTTGTTACTTAAGGCTCAAAATCCCTAGAAGTTTAGAAAGTTTGACATGAGCGAAAAGTGAAAAATTGACTCAAAATGGCCGAATTCCAGTGAGTTTTAGATCATACCTCCAACAGACTTCTTTTCTCCACCCCAGGATTTGGGGAGAAATACATGTGTATCAAGTAAAATAGATGGAAACATTATAAGAAAGAGAGTCTAAATCCTCTTTTCTTTTCTAAGCTGAACTCTTATAACTACAAAAAGACAGAACGCGTCAGTATTATATTTATTAGTTTCTGACTCTCTCAAACTACTGCCGATTAGATCCACCTCAGCCGTTTCGCAACACCACATAAGTGAGATTCTTTCTTTTCATACCTAATATATTATATTTCCTCACTTCCGTTCTCTGACCCGCCTTGGGCCTTAAAAGTTCAGAACCGCCTCTTACCTAAACTCAACTCCTTTCCATTTAAACAAACAAGACCACAGGTTATGTAAGAACTTGCTGTTTCTGCTGCTAAACTCAAAGACTAAAGACTGAACTCTGCTGCCTTCCTCAGATAAACTTCCTTTTCTGCGTCATCTTTCCTCGTTGCATAATCAAAGCACTCCTTTATATTCTAATGGTAAAGGAGCAACAGGTTGTTGGTATTCCAGGCACAAAAGGAACCAGTAAGGATTTTTGGGGGAATTATTCTACTAGATCTGTGCCCATAGTAACCAGACATTTCGCTACACATGCTTGGAGAGACTAGTGTCAGCCCTCGTTAAATATTTAACTTTTGCATCTGAAGTCGAGCTCTCCAGGCCACAATAACCATTAGACTATAACTGATAGATTATATAAATAGATGTGTTGGTATCATGCTGGTATTCAGCAGTTAAGGAGAGACTCAGAGAATATTCTTTAACTTTGGGCTTACAGGCTGGAAGGGTTACTTTTACTTGGAGCTGTCCCAAAGTCAGATTTGGGACAGCACTGAAGAAAAATGTTTAGGAAAGCAAGATGTGTAGCTTTAGCTTTGAGGAGTAACATTTTTTGATGGCAAAATATTAACTTTATGTGGCCATTCTCCCATTGTGGAATTTTTGTATTACAAATATCCCGGATTACTTTTAATCAATAGACCGTTATCGTAAAGCAGAATATAAAAAATCGAAGATTGGACTTAAAATATAGCTTCAGGACCACCATAAGTATGGAGTTGCCGCTGCTTTTTCATATTTATCTAATAATCAGTCCACATTATGTTTCCTATTTGTAATTTGTTGCTCACTGTGTCCATAAAAAGTCGGCGGATTAATTTTGGACAATCTAAACTTCTAACTGTGTGTAAAATGTCTATATTAGCAAAAGTTACATATGCGCTGTTTGGAGATATACACAAGTGGGTGCACAGGCGGGTCTCAAGGGGTTAAAAAGTGCAGATTAGTGCCGTCAATTCCATTGGATTCAGTTTATTTACACATATAGTGCCAATTCACAACACGTGTCATCTGAAGGCACTTTACAGTTCACCAGACCATACAGTCAAATTGTTTCTTAAGCATGCTTGTATTGACAGCGGAGAGAAAAAGCTCCTTTAACAGGAAGAAACCTTAATCAGAACCAGGCTCAGTGTGAGCGGCCATCTGCCGAGGCCGACTGGGCTTCATGGAGACAGAAAAAGAGATACAAAAAGGTAACTGTAAAAGGCGGCCCCGTCCAGGAAACACACAGCCAGGCAGACGAGCTCTGAGCCAGCTCCCATGTCAGAGGTTGAAAGAGAGCACATCCAGCCAGTCATAGTCAGAGAATCAGGACTACACTGGAAAAACAGGCCAGTCTCCAACATCTATAAACAAAGGTGTTGATGGCAGCAGCACAGCTGATATTTCTCTCCAGGATGATGTCACAGCCAAACAGGAACAGACGAGGCGAAGCTGCTATGAGAAAAAGCAGAGAGAGCATAATGAGTAGAGAAAGAATGAAGCGGGAAGGATGAAAAAGGGGTCCCTTTGTCCTCCAGAAGTTTAAGCCTATAGCAGCATAACTATAGAGATAGCTCAGGATAACCTGAGCCACTCTAACTATAAGCTTTATTAAAAAGGAAAGAAAGACAGGGTGTCTGCCTCACAGCCTAAAACTGGTAGTTGGTTCCAGGTCACCATAAGAAAATTTGCTTGGCAATATATTGTCCCAGAAACTATTGAGATAAATAATAATATATTCGTTGGGTTCAAATCTAGGGTGTCCACAGGGTTGTAGAAGGTATTGCATGAAATCAGCAAAAAGTATTTAAAAGTAATAAATGTGATATTAAGAAATACTTTCATTTTAAATGTCTACATAACTGAACTTTTTTTTCTCTTTTTGTCTTAAATACCTCCTAAATATCTCCTGAAAAATACAGGTATTAAGCCAACCTACATTATATATATTTTTTCTGTCTGAGAAGGACCTCAGACAGCAGTGACATCACACAGACATCAGTCAGTGTGCTTAAGTGCTCAAACTGTGGTCAATCCTTAACAAAAAAAAAAACTGACTGTCAGTTTGTGCTCCAACCATAGATCTTATATGCTCTGAACTAACAACCCCTCCACCTACCTCATGCTGACATGTGTCCTCGAACGTCAGAGCGCCGTGTCTCACTGCATTGATCGGTGCCAGAAACGAGTATTTATACCAAACTGCATTAAGCATGCTGCTCACAGCTGCCAGTCAGAATCACCTGCAGCGTCTTTGCTGCTCTCTCGCCCTCACTGACAGGTGTGCAGTGCGTAAAGAAATGGAGCAAGTGGTCCAACTGCAACTTCTTTCTTATGTTTTTGAAGGCAAACTCATACGATGCCACGAAAATGTTGAAAATTGGCAGTTGTCTTTAGAAATGTTGGAATATGTGCGCTGAACTAAGGATCCCAAGGTGTTTGTGAAGCTCCCAGTCTGCTCACGTGTGGGACAGACATAAATACTAGTGGTTAAAACACTAAAATAGTCAGTTCTGCACAACTACGGCTAGTTTCAGTTCTAGCACCCTAAGGAAGCCAAAACTGACATCTTTAAATTATTGCTTTATGTTTTTATAAAGAATAATTTCAGAATTTGGTTAAAAACTAAGCTAAGCTGTGAAAAGAAAAATCTATTCAATGCCAATCCAGAAATTAGGAATTTCTCTTTTTGTTAAATGAATGAATCCCTTTAGCTGCACATTTCTGCAAACCTGTTCTGTTTTGCTTTTTCCTCACTAATTTATTAAGATGGAACTAAAGAAAGTCTATAAAACAGCTTTGGTCTTAGGTTAGTTTTAAATAACAATTGTTTCAATGGATCAGCGTTTTCTTATTTTTTATAAGAAAGACAAAAAAAGGAGAAAATTATCCTTTAATTCAAATAACAATACTTGGTATAAAATTACCACACTGTAAATTTGTGGTTTTTGATGTCATATAAAAATCAGAACTGTATTAAAAAGGTATTAAATTTAACATTCTTGTATAAACTGGCTTGCTACTTCTCACAAGGTCCTCATGCGACACTAATAATTCAATAATTGAACTTTATTGATCTAACCCATCCCTTTGGGGAGCAGTGGGCTGCCACTGTGCAGCGCCCGGGGAGCAGTGTAGGGTTAAGGGTCTTACTCAGGGACCCAAAGTGGCAGTCTTTTGGAATTCAAACCCAGAACCTCTGGGGCCTAAGCGCAACGCTCTAACCACTAGGCCACCTCTCCCTTAAGGGGAAGGGTGAGTGCAGACCGATAGAAGCCATTTGTTTTCCGGACTTTATAGTTAAAGAAAAGGGAGTCGCAAAGAAAACAATCATACAAGCAAAGAGAATGTAAGCTGTTGAGCTCAGGTAAATTTATCATGTAAATTGAATAGATTTTTTCTTCATTGTGCAAGGCCCAGTGCAGATCAGATGCAGCAATAATTTGATAGACCTAAAGCAAATATGAACCCTTACACAAACAATAACTGCTTTATGCAGTGTGTACAAAGTATTAAAGATAATTTGTGTTGCATGTTTTTTGCCTGACTTCATGTGCTATATATGTTGAATAGTTGGGTCCCTTCGAGGCTGCTCCAGGGAGTACAAACAGTGCTGATCAAAACAGCATGGCTGTTTGAGGC